CTCTAACCCTTACTGGACACATATTGGGGGGAGTAATCCCCGAATTAGTATTGTCTATGCGATGTAGACGATGATCCTTTGGAAAAGTCCTTAGGAACAAACATATAAGGAAATGCGATGTAAGACGATGAGAGGCAAATACGATGTAGGAGATGACCCTTAGGATAAATCTTTAGGGAATACTAAATAAAGAAACTGAAGATGGGTAATCGGGTTAACTGTTTGACATGAAATATGTGAAGAAACAAATTAACTATATTATTGTAGGTTGAAAACCCTATGTACTCACCAGGTTTCACAACATGACACACTACTTTATTTGAATCACAGGTATCGATGCACAGATACATTACACTGAGAGATTAAAGGAGATGTAAATCATTTGTGTAAATGAATGTAAGGTCTGTTTATGCTTATGTTTATGTATTAACGATGATATCTCAATGTTCTAAATAAAAATACATTTATTCGGAAATGCTTTGATAACATCATTATCATGTTTTCTGGAAACAAATTTTGCAATGTCGTGGATTTGGGGATGTCACATCATCTTAACTAGGGGTGTAAGTGAGCCGAGCTACTCGTGAGCTACTCGGAATCGACTCGTTAAAAGTTCGACTCGAACTCGATTTAAACGAGCCTGAGCCGAGCCTGAGCTTTATTCGGGGCTCATTTATTAAACGAGCTCGAGCCCGAGCTTTTAAACCGAGCTCGACTAGGGCTCGCGAGCTTAAACGAGCCTATATAAATTATAATATAAATATATTTTTCACTCCTTATATTATATATTTATATTATTAATAATATGTTTCCTTAATTTCTTTAATCTTTATATGAATTGAAAGCAAACCAACCGCCTTTGCCGACATTCCCCTTACTCCACACACGCATACGGCATATACCCTACAACTACGAGCCTAAGACGGTCGAACATGCCATTACCCATTTACCATCTAGGGCGACGATAATTAATCCATGATTTCCAATTAATGATCGATTGTAAGTACGTAACAATTGATTTCCGAATCCAGTGGATGTATCAATTGACTGATTGAGTATACGACGGTCCGAGGTCGACGTTTCCCTCCCGAATCCATCTCGTTCTCAACAGACAACACTCAACAGCCAAGAGGTATTAATAATATTTCATTCCATCACAGTTTATATTGAATCGATTGGTATCAGTAATGTGATTGAATGAATCGATTGTAAGCACTAAGCAAATAACCTGTTTGTCAATTTTTGTAATTAAAATCGGCACTCCTCAAATCAAAAGGTACCTGTTTGTAATCATATTAATTCACTTGTTTGGAAATTGCAACGTGATTGCATGTTGGATGTTTTCAATTCACATTTTTGACCCTAATGTTTGACCAAATGCTAGAAAATGACACACATATTTTTCAAATCACATTGAGTTATTTACTTTTGCATAAATATTATGTGTACTTGTTGGTGTTCATGGTGTTCCACTGAGTTGTTTATTGTTGCATAAATATTATTTCAAATTGATGTATCTATGATTTGTATTGTTTTCTTATGAAGATTCAATGGATGATGGAGGGTCTACAACAAACCTATTAAGTCCAAACAAAGGAATGGGGGTTGAAACAGGTGTTGGGATTGATAATTCGTCATCACAATTAGTACATGGTATGGATCAAACAACCACTCCAAATGAAGAAACAACTAGTCAAATCCCTAATGAAAATGAAAGTGTGAGAGAAAAAAATAACGAAACCGATGAAGATGAAGTACAATTAACGAGAAAATGGAAAAAAACATCAAAAGTATGGGACGACTTTGTTGTAGTTACACTCCGGGATGGTAAGAAAAAAGCCGAATGCAAACATTGTAAGTCAAGGTTGGCTATTACTGGTTCAGGTCCTACATCATCATATAAAAGACACCTAAACAGCTGCATCCCCCATAAACAATCGCTAAAAAACCAACAAATACTAAATTTTCAGCCTAGTGGGTGTGATGTGGATTTTGTGCCACCATTGATCGGACCGGATACAAAATATGATGAAAACAAGATGAGGGAGGCCATAGCTAATTGGATACTAAGTACTGAGCAACCGTTTGCTACTAAGATGAGGGAGGCCATAGCTAATGGGAGGCATTTGGAGAGTTCATAAAGACTGCAGATTTGGAGAGACCAGAAAAGTCAGAGCTTGATATGTATTTAGAAGAAGGTGTTTATATGGAGAAAGGACAAACAGGAATGGAATCATTTAATGCTTTAGAGTGGTGGAATGTGCACAAGTTAAAGTACCGTGTTTTATCATTGATGGGGTTGCATCTGAAGCAACTTTTAGTGTCGGCGGTAGAGTTATTGATCCATATCGAGCTTCATTGGGGTCCGACACGGTACAAATGTTGATTTGCGGAGGAGATTGGATTAGGCAAGTTCATGGAGTCAAGAAAAAAATTAAAGGTATATTTGAAAAAAAATCAAAACCACATTATAATTGTTATTTTAATAGTTTAAATTATTAATTGTCAACCTTTTTATTTTGTAGAAGGAGGAGTTTCCTATTGAGGTTTTACTGCCTGAGGTGAACACAAAGTAATTGAAGGTAATTAGATGTGTTAAACAACAAATTCTTAATCTGAAAAATATTTCAAAAAATGATTCCTTTGTACATTTTGCAGGTTTTGTGTATCTGAGGAGTGAAGTTGCATAAAGGAAGATTTTTCTATTTCTAGTCGTTCAATAATTAGGAGTTTAACTACTATTTTTGTAATTTGAGCTTTTACTCTTTATGTTCTTTTATTTGGTTATATTTTAGACATTAAATCAATGCAAATGGAGAATCTATGAATGTCTGTTTTGAAGTTAGAATTTGGATTATTCCCTTGAATATATGATAATAAATTAAACGAGTCCCAAAACCATAAACGAGCTCGAGTCGAGCCTAAGCTCATTTAGGCTCGCATGACAAACTAAACGAGCCGAGCTCGAGCTTCTTATTTTTCCTACGAGCCGAGCACGAGCTTTGAAATTGGGCTCGAAACGAGCCGAGCTCGAGCTCGAGCCAACATACAATCAAACGAGCTTGAGCCGAGCTTGGGTATGTTCGGGCTCGGCTCGGCTCATTTACACCCCTAATCTTAACTAATTGATAAATCCATTGAATTTGAGAGACCTGGAATAAAATTTGAATGAATGTTTGCTTTTGGAGTGGGAGATAGTTGTTTATGTAAGTGGTCAACCCAAGAAGTCAGCTTGAGTGAACTTGACAGCTCAAGTGGTCAGCTTCAATGAGCTTGACAGTGGGTTTGAGTCAGCTCAATGAGCTTGAGTCAGCCCAGTAACTTTTGTCAAATGACCCATTTATTTGGCCCATGTTAAAAGGCCTAGGTTTTCCTTGATTGTAATACTTGGTGATAGAAGATAGGTAGGGTTAGAGTGTTAGAAAACATCACGTATTTGTATACGGAAAAGTGAGGTCGATTGCTTAGCCTAATACAAGAACTCTCTTTTGTTGTTGATGTAGGCACGATTGATGAACTACATAAATTTGTTGTTTTCTTTCTCCATTTACTTTCTTTGCTTGGTTATTGTCATTGTTTGTTTTTGGGTCTAAGGGCAAAAACGGAAATCTGAAGAACAACAATGTTAGTTGCTATCAATTTGTATTTTCTGCATTGTTTCTGTTGGAGCAATAATTTATATATGTAATAAAAAGAAAAATATATATATATATTTGAGTATTAGTAGCGGTGAATGGTCACAAAGAGGAGAAAGAGAGGAGATTTGAGCAGCATGCGCAACCTGAGATTATACACATTTGGCGATATCGGCGAAACCGTGTAACCATGCTCCCGTAACTCTCTCGACTAAGTCCGCCTTTATGAATAAGAACCAACCAACTAATTATACCAACACTAATGATTGAGAAATTTTAGTTGCCACATTTAAAGCTAAAAGTACCAAATAATTATCCTAAATATCCTCTTATTTTTTGTTCATAATTATCTTCATTTTCATATGAACCAATGACATATTGACATGTGTAATCCGCTAATTCTTTCTTTTAATTTTCTTTTTTAATTTTGATATTTGTCTTGATCTAATGAGTAGGAAGATTAGTAGGAGGATATTTGATTTCTCTTATCCAAAACATCATCCTAAGTGTCAACAACAAAACGAAAAAAGAGTAGATATTGTTGGTCCTATTTATCATACCATTTTATCGTTCCTACCATACCGTCGCCATAACCAAAAAAACATTGTCGTTGTTTTTAGCAAAAGTAATTAAAACCATTGTCAAGCCATGTCCAATTTGTACATGTCTTAATTTCCTGAGACATAAAAACTTAAAAAGTAATAAACTAAATTACATATCCATTATCCAATTTACTTTTGTTGGGGAGACAACAAATAAAGTGAACATGGATTGGATGATGGAATCATGGAAGGCAGATTATAAGACAAGCTACCAATATATTTGTTAAAAATTTGATTTAATCACAATTATATTTTAATATGCAGATAAATTTCTTTAAAAATAATTATCAAAATTCAAAACTCCAATTGAAAATTCTAACATGTGAACTATAGTCAAAACTTTCTTTTACGTAATTTATAATTATTTTTCATAAAATCAAATTGTGATTTCTTGGTCACATTTGCACTTTTTCAAAGGGGCCATTGCACTTAAAAATAAGCATAACGCTCAACTAATGATAATTTTAAAAAAAAATCAATTTAAAATATAATTTTATTAGTAAAACATTCTTTATTTGACATAACATATATTTATAACATAAGTTTTTGAACACTAATCCCAAATTACATTTTAATACATCAACATAAAAGTTAAGATTCTTTTTTTGTAAATTTTTTCTTTTGCAATATATTTGTGGGATCCCTATATTTGTTAACTGGATTGAGTCAGGTAACCTAACCATAGTGAACATTTAACGGCCGTTAACTTCTTCCTCTTTAGCTCTATAAATCAGGCCGTTACGCAAAGGCTGCTGCTCTGACTCCCCACTTCCACCGGCCCTCATTGTCTCCCTTCTCCGATTCCAGATCAGAAACACGCACAAACACGTACACTGCGTGAGAAGTTTTATCTTCAGAGGTGAACAGAGGAGGTGGAGTGTCTGCAATGACAATGGAGGTACCTAAGAAGTGGTTCGCTCTCTGTTCCTTTCTGTTTCTGATCCTGTTGCTCTCCGCCGTCGCCGCCGTAGTGCAGAAAAATAACTCTTCAAACCCTAGGTATCGCTTTCTCTCTAGTAATACCTACTGGTTTTTATGTTTTCCAGCTCAATTCAGTGTATCAGTGTGAACGTAACTTATGTTTTTGTTATTCATCATCTGAAATTTTGAATTCTGTAAGAGAATGTTGCAATATGAACTGAACTCATCTATGGTGAAAATCGACAATGCGAAGCTTATTTAGCTTGAAATTACGGAGTTATTTTTTGTTGAATGTGCACGTTTGATCGTTTCGCTTGAGATTCTTCTTTAGCTAGATAGAGAAGCTTACATTGTTTTTTAAATGGTACAGGACTGTGGAAACAGAGCAGTTACAGAGCCTGAACTTCAACTCGTCAATGGCAGCAAGGTAAAAACAAACAATACTGAAAACCGACTCACTGAGTCGACTGAGTCTCCGGACCTGAGTGTTCATGCGCTTGAATATGTTTTACCTTCGCGTTATTTAGTCTTATTTGAGCAATTCATCTTCTACAAAGAGTAATGAGCACTCATATTCGTTCAGAAAAGTAGAAAACCTCAAACGAAACAAATTTTAACCACTGAGATACTGGATTTTAAGATCTAGACGGTTTATTTCGGTTGTTCATCTCGAGATTCCTCTTGTTTATTGATTCCTACATTTCATTTCTCCTCAAACGGATTCGAAGAACCGTTTTCGGTTGATTATTGTTTTTCCAATTTTTTTCTCTATCCACTTTTTGTCAGTTATAACTGTAAAAAAGCAATGGAGTTGTATTTCTCTCTCTCACACACACGAAAATAAAAAAACACACACCAGTTTTCACTGATTGCAGACATGGTGTACTTTTTGTGTCTCCCCCACTCTTCTTCCACCACACGCTGTAGCGTAATTATGTGATTTGCCGAGGTGTGAAAGCACTTCAATAAAATAAGAATCTCGTATTCCAAATCGTGATTCCTGTAAAGTGTTTTTGTTGTTGTTTTCGAAATCTGATTTGAGTTTTCATTCGATGCAGAGAAAAGGAAATGGAAGCTTTGAATGAAAATGCAGTTCAAGATCCTGAAGAAGTCGTCTCCCTTGTTGAAATGTAAGGATCTCTATAAGCTTCTATATAATGTGGGATTAAATCTAATTAACACCTGTTTAAAGTTAAAAGAATCACAAAAAATGATCCCGGATTCACTCGAATTTATGCGTTTGAGAGAGAACATCTAAAAAATCACATGAATTTAGTTTCGGCGTCACACATAACAAGATCATTTGATTAATATTTTTTTAAGTGACATTCTCTCTCAAACGCATAAATTCATGCGTCAATAATGATTGAGGAAATCTGGCATATTATTTTAAGTTTTTAACCAATCAAATTAACTTATTACTATAATTTTTCACAACTACTAACATTTTTATTTTATTAATGTACAAAGAGCCAATTTGATATCCTCCGTAGCTATTAAATGATAGCCACGTGTTTACATACTATATAGATGAAAGATAATATCATCATGTTATTTCAAGAAACCAAAATCACCAATCCAAACCTTTGTTTTTTTGACTTCATTTCTTTTTCTTTCCCATTTTACCCCTTTGTCAAAATTACCATAAAAGGTGAATCACCTCATGTGCCCATGATGTCCATAACAAAGACCTAAACGAAATCGGACTACATACTCTTCTTGTCTCCCACATGATTTTTCTGATTGAATTTGACGTCTTTACAACCTATCCTAAAATAAAATGTCATTATTACCCTTACACAGTTTCTTTACATAGCAAAATGACTGATGGTCAATACAGTACTTACTACCCTTCTGCAGTGTTAGGTATTGATTTAAATTTCAATTCTTACACTACGAGAGCTAAAGTCACTATGTTCCCACATATATTCGATTCGTATACTATAACCATACACGTCCATGTGACATGCTTTTCTTTATTTTAAATCATCCATATCTCCAATAATCTTGGTATTCAACAAACCTATCTTTTTCCCATGTGACACGCCACCATCATCCCATGTGATCATAAAGAGACATTTTGAACATTGTTACATGGATTTAGTAAAATAACTATTTTACCCTTATACAGGAGTATGAGAAACAACACTGAGAGAAGGAAACTAGGATACTTCTCATGTGGGACCGGGAACCCAATCGACGACTGCTGGCGGTGCGACCCAAACTGGCACCGCAACCGCAAGCGGTTAGCCGACTGCGGTATCGGGTTCGGTCGCAACGCAATCGGGGGCCGCCACGGCCGCTTCTACGTCGTAACCGACGCGCACGACGACAACCCGGTCAACCCGCGGCCTGGCACCCTCCGCCACGCTGTCATCCAAACAGAGCCACTGTGGATCGTCTTCAAACGTGACATGGTCATCCAATTGAAACAAGAACTTATAATGAACAGCTTCAAAACCATCGATGCACGTGGAGTCAACGTGCATATTGCTAATGGAGCTTGTTTGACTTTACAGTTTATCACTAATGTTATCATTCATGGGTTGCATATTCATGATTGTAAACCTACTGGAAATGCTTTGGTTAGAAGCTCTCCTTCGCATTACGGGTGGAGAACAATGGCGGATGGTGATGCGATTTCGATTTTTGGATCGAGTCATATTTGGATCGATCATAATTCTTTGTCTAATTGTGCTGATGGACTTGTGGATGCGGTTATGGGGTCCACTGCTATCACTATTTCCAATAATCACTTTGCTCACCATAACGAGGTTATGTTGTTGGGACATAGTGACTCTTATGTTAGGGATAAAATGATGCAAGTGACAATCGCTTATAACCATTTTGGCAAAGGTCTAATTCAAAGAATGCCAAGGTTATATAATTACTAATTACAAATATCGTTAGTTAATATAATTATGGGAAACTAAAAAAAATATATATTTTTGCAGATGTAGACATGGGTATTTTCATGTTGTGAATAATGACTACACACACTGGGAAATGTACGCGATTGGTGGAAGTGCAAGCCCTACAATTAACAGCCAAGGCAACAGATACCTTGCCCCTGCCAATCCTTTTGCGAAAGAGGTAACGTGTGCTTTTACTTTACTTAAATTGTAATTCAGTGTTCGTTGTTAAATTTATTTGTTTAAATAAAAATGGGAAATTAAACGGGTCGGGTATATAGGTTACCAAGAGGGTGGATACAGATGCGAGAAATTGGCACGGGTGGAACTGGAGATCCGAGGGTGATTTACTTCTTAATGGGGCTTATTTTACTCCATCTGGGGCTGGTGCTTCTGCGAGTTATGCTAGAGCTTCGAGTCTAGGGGCAAAATCGTCTAACATGGTTGCTAGTATTACTTCTAGTGCTGGGGTTCTTAACTGTCGTAGGGGCCACCAATGCTAGCCTTACACGTGTCATCCTCTCTCACCATTTTCACTTTTACTTTTTTTATTTTTTGTTCAGTGTGTTTGTTCACTCCTCTAGTGTGCTTTTTTTACACACTCATTGTTTTTTTTTTTTTTTTTTTTTGTGTCGTGCAAGTGCAACCTCGGCCAAGCTTTTTATTAGAAAAAAACATGAACTACATTACGTTACATTACATATTCAACAATTTCGGGATAGGAGCAGGTTTGAAGTGTTGTTCATCGTGTGATTTGTGTTTAGATCTCATCTGACTAGGTTTATTGATTTTATATAGGGGACAACATTGGTCATTGGAATGTTATTTTTATTTTTTTTATGTAATTTTTGGTTTTGTTGAGTCGAATGTTGAAACTTGAAACTACTTGGGTTATGATTCTTGAATGGAAAAGAAAGAGAGGTTTTATTTTTATTTTGGCGTTAAATTTGAATTTATTGGAGGGATGAAGCTTTTGGTTTTGGATGCTTTACAGTTTTACAATTATGTGTTAGTGTGTTCCTGCCACAAAAAGATTTCAGAAGACTTTTTTTTTCCTTTTGTCAAAGGCAATAATGATATTGTCTCAAATATTAAAAAAGAACATTGGATTCTTCTTCCTCACAGCTTGATTTTTTTTTTTTTTTTTTCAACTGTTGCCACGTGAAAATTCATAAAAATGTAAAGGCAAATTAAAGTCATTCATACTCTTTAGCATTCTTTTTTGTATTGTTATAACAAGAGTAATTATATCCAAAGTTAAAAACTTGAAATACAATGTCACGTGTTTGGCGTGAAAGCATCTCTCGCATCGCATGTAATGTGAGGGTGTCACAAGTCACAAACTTGTAAATACGTATTAGTCATTTAGTTGGTCATTTTGTGTCTTATGAACGTACAACTTACACATGCACAAGGTACCAATAAAAAAGATCCAGTTAATAGGGTACAAATATCACATGTTAGAAGACAGGTTATTTAGAGCCCTATTGAGCATTGAGTGCCTACCTTTGTATAGTAGATAACAAGAGACAACAAACAGTGTACTTTGTCTAACAAGTGTACAACTCACCAATGCTCAATCTACCAAACATGTGTCACCAAAATTATCCAAGTAGATAGACATGTCACACTCGTTCGTAAATCTTATAATCCAACCCCCCAAACCCCAACCTAGAAACCCTATGGGAGTATGGGGCTCAAAGTACACTGTTGTTGCCTTTGATAGTGTTTGCTCTCTATAATCAAAACATATTCTTCAAGATTCAACTTTTTATTGACAAAAAAGATTATGGATGGCTTGAATAAACCTTGTTTCCAATCGCACTTATGTCATTTTCTCAATTGCATCCATTTGAATTAAGCTTTTGGTTCATCAAAAAAAGTCTGAAAACCATTTGAAAGTTGTTATACTTCTAACACCACCTCGTGTTATTGTGTAAGAGTAACATTTGTTTTACTACCACCAAAAGATTTCGGAACATTTTTCTTCTTCTAGAAAAGCTTGTAATCAATATCTCTAATTAGAACTTTCGATTCTTCCTCACAAGATGAATTTTGCCAAGTGAAATTCATACCATGAAAATGTAAATGCAAAAAAAGAAAATAAGTAGAAGAAGCAATCGGTTTGTTATTGTAAAGTGTAACTTTCATTGTGTACCTTTATAAGAACAATAATTATTGTGCAAAATTAAATAGAATGTCACATGGGTTTTGCTATTAAATTGTCTTTGGCGTGAAGCCATCTCTCTCCGTCACCATGTGATGTCTCTCTCGTAAACAGAAATAATCCTCTTCGATGCCCTATATATCCGAAACTTAAAATAATGATGCCTTTTTAGTCCAAATCTTACAAAAAAATCGAATATAAAAAGTATGCAGTCTAATTAAACGTGTCTAATTGGACATTATCCGTATACCGAAGAGCCCATTCAATACCTAACACTTTTTACATGAACGCTAAGCAATTCTATGGGTAAATTACACGGATGGTCCCTGTGGTTTACGGTAATCTGCATGGTTGGTCCCTAAAAACATTTTTTAACTCGGAACGTCTCTATTTTATATTTTTGTTGCACGGTTGATCCCTGTCTGTTCTAAAAAGACTAATTTACCCTTATTCATTTCTTTCTTAATTAAGTTCTTATTAATTTATTTAATTATTATCTTATTTAAATAAAAAATACATGTGGGTCCCTCCCTCATTGCCCCCTTCAGCATTCTTCTTCCCTCGACCTTTGTCCCATCTTCGATTTCATCATCCCAACTCCAGCAACATTACTAAATCTCCAACAAACACCAACTAATCAAACCCTCTCTTCACCAGAGAAACAATGTTTACCTGAAAAAACAAATGGCAATGATATCCTGTCCTCATTCGCCTCATCCAACCCACCCACTATTGTTCATCATCTTCTTCAAGTTCTACATCACCCAACCACCACAAGCCCCTTTGTCTTCTTCAGTAAGACTACTTACAAACCATCACAAACCCTTTTGTCTGAAGCAAATTGCCAGAAAATCAAGGCAAGAACCAAGTCATAAGCAAATTACCCCTAAATCTGAGTCAAATCAGAAAAGCAAATTGGAAAATATGAAAATTAACAACCATATATGAACCAAACCTTAAGAAAACCAAACCAAAAACCACATTTGAAGAAGACAATAGGGTAACCAGGAACAAATTTGAAGCATATCTAGAAATCAAACCTGAAGGAATTCGTCGGAGAAATCAGATCGGGAAAAGCTGAACCTGACGGCTCTCACCCTATTTCCTCGTATCACCCACTCACTCCCCCTCTCCTCACCCTTCGTTTCCCTTTCAATATCAGGATGCACAAACGAAAACATCCAAAAATAAAAAAATATGGCAATTGGTTCTCGTTCTCGTTCTCCTACAGGTGCAAGGACGACCACTAGGGTTTAATTTTGCAGGGTTTTAATTTTGCAGGGAGAGGGGAGGACATGGGGATGATGGTCGATGGTGATGGATTATCTGTTACACACCAGATCATTCTGAGTTGTAAATCTATTACACACCAGTAGCAGAGAGGAACGAAGGGCGAAAGAGGTGATTTCCGGTAGCGAAGCTGGTTGACGGTGGGGTATAAGACGATGTCATGTGGAGTCGGCGAACTTATCTGGACGGAGGAATGGGGTTTAAAGGATCATGACGACCAGTCCCTTTCTTATTTTATTTTAGTTCTTTTTAGATTTGTTTTTATTTATTATTTATCATAATAGATAAATAAGGCAAAGTGTGTATATATATATATATATATATATATATATATATATATATATATATTAAGGGTAAGTTGGTCATTTTATGTCTATCAGGGACAAAACGCGTAACAAAAACAAACTATAAGGATGGTCCGAGTTGAAAATTCTTCTTAGGGACCAAACACGCAGATTACCCCAAACCACGAGGATCATTCGTGTAATTTACCCCAATTCTATTAAATGTTTAAGCGATTATTTAAATGCAAAATTATCTATTTTTGGTTTATTTTTACTCCCAAGATTAACGATAAACGGGAAAAATGACACATACGACATATGGATTTTCTAGGGTTTACCATTTTAGTCACTAAACTTTTTTAGTGGCTTTATGAAGGAACAAATTGTGTTGCAACCTAGAAATTTAGTCCATTTTACTTATTATACCTGATAACAATGTCACATCGTCCTAATTTGATACATCATCGATGACATGGCGAAATTGTATTTAAGTCTGGAACTCAAACGACATCATTTTGGAATGTGAAACCTCTGTAGAGGTCATGTTCACACTATTCACCCACCTCCGTATAAAATGTGAAGCTTGTGCCCTAAAATGACACAATTCGTAACCTGGTTACCCCGACTGCATCCTAAACTTCGATACCAATCGCAGAAACGATGCATTCACGATTATCTCAAGATCACAGTTGGTCACCCAACTACAATCAGCACATGACTGAAAATGTCTCGAATGGAGTCACAAATGAAGATTGCGATCAATCTGTTGCATACACAGTTAGAGGTGTCGCTTGGGAGGGAAGAGATTGCAAACGACCTTCGTAAACTACGACACAACCTCACTAGAGAGATGGACACCCTAAATCATGAAGTCGATGATGTTAGGGAAAGTTAACTTGATCTATCTAACATGCTTGCTGATTTGAAGAATCATTTTTGTTCATTGCAAGCGTCGTATGTCAACATTGTTCTGGGAAAAAAGAAGTCGGAGAAAGTGAAATGGGTCTTTGGGGTTTTTGTCGTTGCTGTTATGGGGGTTTTAACCTACAGGCTATTTAAATGGCAGAATAACTTTAGGTTAACATTTCAATCCTGGGTTTCTATTTTGTTTTGATGTGCATCTCGTTTATTCTCCTTATTAGTAACGGGTTTTGCTGGTTCTCTTTTGGTTTGTGGTTGTAGTATTTGGTGGTTTTGTGATAGAGGTAAGTTATGTATGAAAAATGCGTGCATACCTTTGCTCATTTTGGAGAATATTCAATCTTGTTCTGATGTTTGGAAAAACATAATAACGATTCCATCCTTGACATGTGAGTTTCATAATGACCATCATTTGCATGACATATATACTAATGTCCACCAACATGATGATAATAGGTTTTTTCCTAGCATCGAAAATGACACTATTAAAGCTCTCTGAATAGTCATTCTCCACAGATTCACATGATGATAGGTGAACTCTAAAAAAAGCTAGAGACCAAGTCTTTGGATCTCTGTCCATAAGATGCTTAACCGCTTCAGTATTCAACTTTTCAATATCTTACATGGTTGTGTTAAAATGTGCTTCATTTGTTGCCTTGCTTTCTCTCCAAAACAAATTTTCAAACTTGGCTACATTAAACCTCTTTTTAAAATTAGCATATATATGCCTAGCACAATGCATATGTTCTGCTGCTGAGAATACTTCTTTGACTGCCTCAACCAAACCCTGCATATGTACCCATAATATGTGAAGTTAGAAATGTAAATTTTTATTATACTATGTTAAATACTTTACAAACATACCTTGTGTTGATCAAATATAAAGACTAAACCACTTCCATCATTTCAACATTGCAAATCTCCGACAAAATTTTCAACGAACCATTACCAATTCTCTTTGTTTTCCACACATACAACATCCCAAGCAATTGGGAATATTCCATTGTTA